CCCCCCCTCGGTGTGGTGGGGTGGGGGGGGGGGTGGTCACACCGCAATCCCTTCTCCTCCATTCTTCTCCTGGGATCTTGGGCACACATACACATATGTCAGTGTGAGTTTCAAGCCACTGGGTCTGGGACTTGAACTGTGGTCGGCCACGGGGGAGTCCAGTGACATAGCTGCTGCGCCCTCTGCTGGCTCCACTTTAAGCTACTTTTAAAATTACTCAAAAAAATGTTTTTCTCTACTTTAAAACAGTAAATTAAGAATCAGCAGATGGCGTAATGGTTACAACACTGAATTCCCACATGGCCGATGGCGGTTCAAATCTCAGAAACAGTGGCTTGACACTCAAATCGGGTGTATGTGTGGCCAAAATTATGAGGGGAGAATGGAGAAGGAATTATGGTGTGGCCATCCCCTGAGGGGTGATTTCCCACTTTCTGTTTCCCCAGTGAGTGTACATGCCCTATAGCAAAAATCTCTCTAAAAAAACCTGTAAATTAAACATTTATCTTTGATTAGAGATGGCTACACTTTACAGAAGAGACGAACAATTAATAAATGTAAAAGAACTAAAGAATTAGAACATCACTTCTCAATCTTGAAAGATGGCAATTTAGGCAAAGTTTATCAAGTAATGTCAAAAAGTAATTTAAGTTTGTAGCCTAGTGTCTAAGGGAGCTGGACACACGTGGCCAACCCTACGTTCAAATCCCAGCCCCAGCAGCTTGAAAAACACACTCGAGAGTGTGTATGTGTGTGCATGCATGCACGTGCGTGTGCTCCAAATCCCAAGAAGATGGAGAAATGAAGAAGGGATTGTGGAGTGATGACACTCCACTGCAGGGTCCTTCTCCCTGTTTCTCTTTCTCTCTCTGGCTTCCATTTGCACTCTGACAATCAAAAAAAAAAAAGGCAATTTAAGTTTTACCCATTAAATATATTACCCAACAGATACTTTCCAGTTCCAAAGGAAAAAATGATTATACAACAGAAGGACCCGCCTGCCATCATCCTGATGCCACAGTTACAACTAGGGAAATCAACTAGATACAATGTGTCTTTTGATGTTACCCAAAATGAAACCCACAAGTCATCTATAGTATATTCCAGCCAAAAATATTTCATTTGAATCTATCAAGCATTTAGAAATAACTTTCAATTTATGGAAAATTCAAGAAATAAAGGAATAACCTAAACTGGCACCATGAGGGAACAACCAGACAATCCAAACTATAGGACGAGCTGCAGAACAAAGGACTTGATCTCTTCAGCAAATCGATGTTACTACAAAAGAAAACGTGCAAGGCGGGACCAGCAGATGGCATAATGGCTACCCTGCTGGTACATACATGAGTACGTGTGTGCCCCAAGTCCTGAGAGGAGAATGGAAGGGAAGGGATTGTGGCCTAGGGGTTGATTGCTTGCTTTCTGTTTCTGTCTCTCCAGTGAGCACACAGGCCCTATAGCAAAAATCTCTCTCTCTAAAAAAAGGAAAACATCCTTGGGACCAGCAGTTAGCGTAATGGCTATGTCGCTGGACTCCCACGTAGTCGACCGCAGTTCGAGTCTTGGACCTGGTGGCTTAAAATTCACACTGGGCGTGTGTGCGTGCGTGCTCAAGATCCCGAGAGGAGAATGGAGAAGGAATTGCAGAGTGGCCATCCCCTCTGGGGGGTGATTTCTTGCTTTCTATCTGTCTGTCTGTCTGGCGAGCGCATGTGCCCTATAGCAAAAACGTCTCTAAAAAAAAAAAAGGAAAACATCCTTAAAGGATGCAATAACTACATGATATATGAAGTCATGAACTCAATTGCAATTTGGACCAACAAGCTAAAACCACTCTGGGGTCAACTGAGAAAATCTGAATTCAGTCTGTATACCAGATAAGATGGAAATTTACTAAAGTGACTAAGTAGTTGTTCACTGAAGACAACAAGCTGCAAATTACCATGAAAGACAATGACAGTGGGGTCGGCAGGCGGCATGGTAGTTAAGGTGCTGGACTCCCACAGAGTCAACCAGTTCAAGTTCTGGACTAGGTGACATGAAACTCACACCAGGCATATGTACATGTGTGCCCCAAATCCTGACAGGTTAAGGGATTGCAGTGTGGCCATCTCCCCAGGGGGTGATTTCTCATTTTCTGTCTCTGCCTCTCTGGCAAGTGCATATATCCTACAGCAAAAATCTCTTTTAAAAAAGAAAAAAGACAAAGAAAAAGAATGACAGTGAAGCACAAAGGGAACAAATCTTGTCCAAAGACTCAGAGTTCCAAAGACCTTTTTAGTGCCCCACATTTAAATATAACTAAAAACCACAAAAATCTAAGAAAGCCTCTAATATAATAAACCCCCAAACAAGCATACAGAGTAAATAAAAATCATCTTGGAAATTAAAACCAAAGTTTATACAAAAACTTGCAGGTAAACAGCCCTCCAAATCTGTGGTTGCTGCATCCATGGACTCAATCAACCACAGATCAGAAATGGACTTGGGCCTGTGATGGGCGCATCATACTGAACATGCCCGGATGTCCTGACTGTTACTCCCTAAACAATAAAGTATAACATCGATTTATGTTGTACTAGGTATTGTTGGTAATTCGGAAGTGATTTGAAATATATGGATAATTATGCATGGGTTATATGTGAATACTAAACTATTTCATATAAGGGGCATGAGCATCTACGGATTTTGTTATTCATGGGAGATACTGAAGGATAATTGTATTTATAAACAGTTTTATTCATAATCGCAAAAAACTGAAAACAACTCAGTGTCCTTCACCAAGAAATAAACTGTGGTACACTCATACAATTATTGATACGCACAGCGACATGAACAAATCGCAAACACTTTATGCTTA